CTACTACTACTACTACTACTACTACTACTACTACTACTACTTCTACTACTACTACTACTAATACTACTACTACTTCTACTACTACTACTACTACTACTACTACTACTACTACTACTACTACTACTACTACTACTACTACTACTACTACTACTACTACGGCTACTACTACTGCTACAACTACTATTACTACTTCTCCTCCTGCTCCACATCCTCATCCTCCTCGTCCTATTCCTCCTGCTCCTGCTCCTTCTCCTCCACCTCCTTCTCGCCCTGCTGCTCCACCTCCTACTCATCCTGCTCCTGTGGCCTGCTCCTCCTCCTTCGCCTCCTCCTCCTCCTCCTCCTCCAACTTCTGCTCTTCCTCCTCCTCCTGCTCTTCCTGTTCCTCCTGCTCCTCCTCATCATCATCCTCCTCCAGCTCCTGCTCCTGCTCCTCCTTTTCCTCGGTTTCCTCCTCCTCCTCTTCCTCCTCCGCCTCCTCTTCTTTCTCCTCATCATGCTCCTCTTCCTGCTCCTCCTTTTCCTGTTCCTGCTCCTGCTCCTGCTCCTGCTCCTGTTCCTCCTCCTCCTTCCTTTCACCTCTCCTCCGTGCTCTTTTTCTGTTGTCCTCCTACTGTCTCCTCCTCCTCCTCCTCCCTTCTCCTCTCCTCCTCCTCCTCTCGTCCTCTCTTCCTCTTGCCTGTCCTCCTGCTCCGCCTCCTCCTGCCTCCTCCTCCTCCTCCCTGCTCCTCCCTCCTCCTTCCTGTGCCTGCTTCCTCTCCTCCTCCTGCTCCTCTCCGCCCACCTCTCTCGTTGTCCTCCTCTCCTCCTCCGCCTCCACTCCTCTCCCCTCTTATGTTCTCCTCCTCTTCCTCCTCCTCTCCTCCTCCTCTCCTCCTCCTCCTCTACCCTGCCTCCTTCCTCTCCTCCTCATCCTCCTATTCTTCCTCCTCCTTCTGCTTTTCCTGTCTCTGCTTCTCCTCCTCTCCTCCTCCTCCTCCTCTCCCTCCTCTCCGTTTCTCTCCTCCGCTCCTCCTCCTCCTCCTCCTCCTCCTCTCCCTCCTCCGCTGTATATCCTTCCCTCCCGCCGCTGCTTCCTCTCCCGCATCCACATCCCTACCCCAATATGACCTCCTAATCTCCTCCTCCTCCTCCTCCGCCTCCTCCTCCTCCTCCTTCTCCTCCTCCTCCTGCTGCTGCACCGATGAAAGGAGAGTTCCGAATCGTCCACAACGTGAATTCGGGAGGGGCCTCACCTCGCCGCCCCGCCGAGTGCGCAGTCACGTTGCTGCACAAACTCATAAAACGGGTCGCGGGAACGTAAAAGTTCAGAGCCTCCTCCGGAATGTCATAGCCCGGCAGATCATTAGCCAATCCTGGAGAAACCGCATCTAACACAACCATCGCTAGGAAACGCGACAGAGCTGGTGGGTACTCCTTCAGAGAAGCGGTCCGATATTGTCCCCCCGATCGTCCTGTGGCCGCGGGGTGGCCCCCCCTATGCTGACACCTCCCTCGCCCTGGGATACTGTTCAACACCCGCTGGAACCCTGGGATATTGACCGACAGCAGAGTCGTCGGCTTGAGATACTCACACGAGAACATACACTGGTCGATATCATGGACGGTGACTCCTGGGAGACTCCTGATCCACGCCATTTCTTCCAGCTTCCAGCTCGATGCAGCCAACGGCTGCCAGTGGGGGACAGCAGGGTGCTCCATAATCATGCTCACCCTGGTGGCCACCGCGGCGGTCAGAAACCTCATCGTCGTTCTGAGAAGGAGGTTCCCGATCTCGACCTGACGTTGTTCCTTCACCGTCAGGCCCCACTCTCCCCACGGCCGAGCGCGGCTCCTAACTGGTCTAGGACTCTGTCCCCCTTCTAACTGCTGGAACCGCACCGCCGACCACGTTTCGCAGGGCGGCCCCGCGAGCACCGCTACAACCACCCCCGAGGCCATGAGGCCAAGCCAGTAGCGGATCGTTTCCTCCCTCGAGAGATCCCCCCACACGCGGTCGTTAGCCACGTCAAGCGAAAGGACCCACAAGGGCCTAGACTCCTGAGCACATACGTTAAGTTCCCCCATCCAATGCTGCACATCCCCCCACCTCCTCCTTCCTGAGAACAAATGCAACACAAAAAAGTAGCCGAGCCTCCCTCTGTCAGGGCCGTGTCGCGCATGCAGGTCCGCACCCCCCCTCCCCTCCTCCACCCCCTCAGCGGATGAGACCAGGGCGGCCGACTCGGCCGTTTCATCTCCAGGACCTGCACGCGCTGGCACGGGCGGGGCGGCCTCCGCGGCCGCTTTCTCAACTGCAAGAGCACTGGGGGGGGGTCATGCGCGGGGACCCCGTCTGGCGCTTCACCAGCCTCGCCCTGAACAACCGCCTCCCTCACCAGAGGGATACCAGGCCCTAAGAATTTGACTGCCGGCAGCAGCGCTTTTCTTCATAAAAACCTGCCGCGCGCAACCGACGACTGTCGGTCGCGTCATCATCCTTAGCGGCCACGAGGTCCGCACCAGAGAGAGGGGCGAAGAAGCCCCGTAAGGCACGAAGACAACCCCTACACCTGTGCCTGAGGTGCCTCACGAGCCTCAACCGTGTATGAAACTCCGTGGAGCACGCGGCGCATACAGAGCCGTGGGCAAACCGCTGAGGCTCGTCTAGCTCGGGGTGTACCTTACTTAAGTGCGACTTCCACCCCTGGGCCGTTTTGAAGGCCCGACCGCACTCGTAGCAGTGAAACCCTTCCCGCTCACACCTGGGGACCCGTCCGAAGGGGGGGGGGGGGGGGGGGGGCCAGCCTCTAGGGCTGTCGCGCAAAGCTCACGCCGCCACATCTTCCGATGGCACTCATCTCTCAAGAAGAACCTCCGCCCCTTCCACGCCACACGGACAATGCGCGCGAACTCTAGGGGAGGCGACCTGGCAAGAGCAATGACTTCCTGCCATGCCTGGGGCAGCCTTTCCACACTGGGGGTGAACTGCCTGAAAACATCTACGTCACCGATGAGCCTATGGCTCCACGAGCCCTGCTGCTGGAACTGGCCGTCGAGCACCCACAGAAGCTGCCTGGGCGCCTTGCGCAGCAGGCGGGGGAGGTACACCAGGCGCCGATACCACAGAAGGCTGTCTAATGGAGCCCTCCGGCTCCGTAGAGCACCTCCTCCAGGGAAGGGGCAGACCTCTCACTGGCCGTGCCTCTCATATCTGCCACCTGCGCACGCCGAAGAGCGTCGGTGTATGTAGCCTCTAGAGATGCCCATGCTTTGACTCCGACC